ATTACTAGAATGGAGGAAATAATATTTTTTGGAGTAGAGGAAGTAAATAAAGGCGTAAAAAAACCCATTTATAATACTCCGTATATTCTAATCAGTCAAAATAACTTCACAATCTAATATAATTATAATTTTATTACTATGTAAACCTGTCAGTCAGAGTCAATTCACGAGTTATCTCGGATCGGGTCACTTTAGGTTACGGGTCAAGAAATGTTCAACCCTTGCCTAAAGTTTAGGTTCAGGTCAACTCAACAGGCATTGAAGATTTTTTTAATTTAATTTATTTTTTGCTAATTTTTTAATGTATTTAATCGAATATTTTTACCAATATTATTGTTATTAGTCATTACATACCTACTAGATAGCAGATCGTCACAACAGCACATTAATTACTAAATAATTTTGTATCAATGATATATTTTAAAATTTGACCTACAGATAAAAAGTTTATGTTAAAATTCAATAAACTACCCGAGCATCGCACGGGCCCAAAACTAGTATAATAAAGCTAAACTTTTAGTCAGGCCCCGAGACAGCGACAATTGGCATTTCAATTTTTCGCCAAGTGTCGCGCCACGTTGGATAGATTTAGATAAACTACATAGGATAAAAATTTGAGTTTAATTTTAAATTTTATTTTCAATTAAATTTGAATAGAATATTAGGATAAAATTATTAGTTTAAATTTTTATTTTCGATAAAATTCCAATATTCATATGTACAAATTGAATTTTAAGTTTATTCAAAAAAAATTAGGTTATAATCCTCAACCATTATCATACAAAATTTATTTTTTATATCATAATATTTTCTGCTGCAAAGGGAGTAGTTCAAAACGTGAAAAATCCATTTATAATATATTCTAATCGATTAAAATAATATACTTCACAATCTAATATAATTTTATGACTATTTAGGCATGTCAATTAGGGTCGGGTCATGGGTCATTTCGGATCAAATTACTTCATGTTACAGGCCAAGTAATGTTCAACCCTTGCCCAAAGTTTTGTTTAGGTCAACCCAACGGGCTTATTTATTTTGCTAAATTTTTAGATTGTTTTATGTATTTAATCGAACATGATTACCAACTTTATTATTAGTCATTATATACCTACTACATTGCAAATCGTCACAAAAATACATAAATTCCTAACTAATTTTGTATCAATTACATATTTTAAAGTTCGACACATAGAATAAAAATTTATCTTAAAATTTAATGAACGATCGCGCGAGCACAAAACTAGTATAATACGAAGTATAAAGTTATTACATATTAGGAAAGTATATATTTTTCATATTGATATTAGGATTGAGTTAGTAAATATATAATATTATTCAAAAAAAAAAAGTTAGTAAATAATATCATTATAATATCTATAGGGATGTCAACTAATGAGGCGATGCAAGGCCTGTTCTCATACGATTATTTTCATTTCAATTTAGTTGAGTTTAATTGAGTTTAGCTCTAATTATAAGTTCAGTTTAGCTCAGTTCAGCTCCTAATTTCTTTCTCTTATCAAATATTCAGTTCAGTTCAGTTTCAATTCAGTTAAGTTAAGGGCTTGTTCTCTTACGTTGAAATTCAGTTCAGTTCAGTTCAGTTCAATTCAGTTTAGTTCAGTTCAGTTCAGCTCAGTTCAGTTCAGTTTAGTTCAGTTCAGTTCAGCTCCTAATTTCCTTCTCTTATAAAATATTCAGTTCAGTTCAGCTCCTAATTTCCTTCTCTTATAAAATATTCAGATCAGTTCAGTTCAGTTCAGCTCAATTCAGTTCATTTCAGTTCAGCTGAGTTAAGTCAATGAGAACAGGACCTAAGTTAAGTTCAGTTAAGTTCAGTTCAATTATGTTCAACTCTAATAAGTTCAGTTTAGTTAAGTTTAGTTCAGCTCATTTCAGTCAATGAAAACAGGCCCTCATTCATGAACAGCTCATGAATAAACTTGGTCATTTAGTTAACTAGTAACAAGTCTAGCTCGAACAACTATTGTTCTCATTGCTTAAACTTAGCTAAGCTGAACTGAATTGAACTTATTAGAGCTGAACTGAACTGAATATTTTATATATAAGAGAAGGAAATTAAAAATTGACCTAAACTGAACTGAACTTATTAGAGCTGACCTGAATTAAACTTATTAAAGTTGACCTGAACTGAACTGAAATGAACTTATTAAAGTTGAACTGAATTGAACTGAACTGAAAATAAACAGATAAGAACAGGGTCTTAGTACCCGACTCGTTTATATGCTTGTGAAGTTGTGAGCAATTCGTTCAAGTTCATTTATATGCTTGTTCTTGTTTGCTTATAAGCTCCTTGAAAACTAAATCAAGCTAATCTTTTTTTTTTTTAAATAAAATTTAAAAAATTGGCAATTATTTTGTTTTAGGCTATGAATTGTATCTTTAAGAAAGTTATCGTATAATAGAACATTACCCCAAATCAAATTTATATTATTGGAATTGGTTATTTTTAAGAATAGGATGTTTGTTAATTACTCTTTGAAATTCGATATCGTTCATTTATGAAGGCTCTATATTAAAGCTATTTATTAAATGAGCAAAAAAATAATAAGCAAATTACCCGGATGTACGGATGATTTAACAAATTCTAGTATTAGGGTAGGGTTAATTATGATGGGCTCTGATATTATTATCAAAGACAGAATTTATTATTGATTTTGTAGTACCAATAACGGTACGAGTACTAATTAAGGACTGAAGCAGCAAATCTAAAGAGAATATTGCATCAATTAAAAAATTCCTAATGCCACGGCAGTCTTAGAGCGAACCCAAAGAAAAAAATCCACCGACCTGGAAAGAGGTGACACTAATTGACAGTGCAACAACCGATCTTAATTCCTAACTAGTCGTTGCACTCAAATTTCTGCACATACTTACTAATCCCATAATAAAATCAAACCCAAATACTCGAGTCAGATACTTAAATACGTACCCGATACAACAAGGTCAACAATGTACGTACGTACGTATCCGATCGAGTCGAGTCGGAGAGAGAAAGAGAAGGAAAGAGGGGCGTGTGGGAAGTAGCGTGATGAAGGCAAGTAGACAACTCAATACCCACACGAGATTCATTAAAAGCCCACCTCTTTTAATTTCTTTCCTTCTTCCTTCCCAACTTGCATATTTTTCCATTTTCTCTCTCCTCTCCCACTTGCCATTACTATATTCTCTACTCCTGCAACTTGCACTTCTTTTTCTTTTTTCTTTATTTTTTTAAACATTTTCCTTAACCAGTAGTACAATCTTAAGAAATTAGGAGAGAGAAAATGTTTAGAAACAAACAAACTTTTCTACCATGCAACTTGCTCTTCTATCATTTCTTTATTCATTATATTTCTCATTTAAAATACCAACAAACTATTACATCACCAACAACCCAGTTGATCTTTAGATTATCAGTTTTTTTTTTTTTTTTTTCTTTGCATTATTATATTTTTCAAAAAAAAAAAAAAAAAAATTAGTGCAAGTTGCAACAAAGAACGAAAGAAGATGACCCTTCTGATTCTTCTTCAATACCCCATTCCCACCTTTCACGTTATTGTTTTCTTTCCTTATTTCTTTATTGCAATTGGTTTACTTCTAGATAATATTATCTATCACGCCCTTTCGATCTTTTTGACGCATATTCTCTAACTAAAACAACCTCTTCTATACTTATCTTTTTTATTTTCTACCTTTCCATGCATGCGGCGTTCGCTATCTTTTATTCCATGTCCCGTCTCTGTAACATATGTGACAATTAATTTCAGACGGAGCATATATATATATATGAAATACAAATGTATTATTCTTATTATTATTATTAGATATAAAAGTTTAATTATGCACATGTGGAGGAAAGTAGTAGATGTTGTGAAGAGACAAATTAAATGAGCTGGAAATTATAATTAGATAAAATGATAATTATAATACTAGTGGGAGTTAGTAGTGATATTAAGCATTGTTGCTATTTGCATCACATGCACTCAAAGCATATACGATCTCTTTTAACATGATCTATCAAATTCTTTAAGCAATTGGGTATTTCCACTAATTTTATTTTGTTATTGCTATTATTAGTTGAGAAGCAACTAGAGTTAAATACATAATGGTGAAGTAAGCTAAGCATCCTTTTTGTTTTATTAATTATTTCCACTAAAAAGTGTACAATGTACCTATGAAATAAGTAATAAATTGCATTTCATAAGCTACCAACTTTACTATTTACAGGAGCAACCTTACAAACCTTCCAACCTCCCTAAATAGGTTAAAAACCAAACTACACTAGATAAAATCGAAAATGTACATACCAACTTATGACCATATAATCACACATCAACACACTACGAAATCAAACATAAAATAATACAAGTACTTCATAATATCACAAATTAAACATGATACATACAAAGTATTTTTGAAATACGACTACAACAAACTATGAATTGAACTACGTATTGTGATTAACATTATATACCTCCTCAAGAATCCAAGAGATTAAAATCATTTTACATAAAATTAAAACAGTTATTTGTTCATAAAAATCATGTATTTTCTGACATATGCAACCAAATTAAGCTGTGATCCTCATGCCGTAACCCCGCCCATACTTGTAATAATTTGGATCTCTATCCACATCCGGATTATTGAGAAGCTGTTGGTGGTGCAATGACCAAAAAATCCAAATTGCCCATAAAATTTTTAATATATATATATATTTATCCATTTTAAGATATTCATAATAATAAAAATAATAATAATGCTAACTCCACAACTTCAATTTCCAACCAAGAAATCAATAAACAATAGTCCCCACTTTGAATCTCTTTCATTCATTCATTTGATTCAATTCAATTCCACAACCTAGCATCAAAATGTACATTTGTGTTGAATTGAATTGAATTTCAATATACACATGTATAATTAAACTCGAAATCGAAATTTATAGTCACCTACATTTTTTGTCTAAATTCGTAACATAATGTAAAAATTTCCCTAAATGAATTAAAATCTAATATATTCATTCTAGAATTGTAAGCATGAGAATAGAAGAGAGTATGTACAAATTTGAGCTTACCCTAACTAAAAGGTAAACATAATACGAGTAATCGAAAATTGACGAAAGCATGAACCCCAAAATCAAAAGGCATGCATCAAAGAAATACATTAAAGAAAAAAGGAAGAAAGAAATTAAGTACAACAAAAACTAGAGCTATGTTCTATGTATCATCAATCTTTGTTTTTTTGACAAATTCAAAAATTGGGAATAAAAAGGGTAAATTATAAGAGCTTAAATTTGTACTCCGATCAACAACACAAAAAAAAATTTATATATCATCATCAGTTCATCACCCCATTTGGTTGTCGAAAACGCTGTCGATCGATTGTCATTTGTCTTTCATTTCAATTCCTCGAGATTATAATACACCAAAGTTAGGACAGTCTTCTCTCAAGACCGAGCTTGAATTCCTCGAGATCGCATTTGATGGTGGTATCATATCATATCAAAAGTTGTGAGAGAAAAATTAAAAGAAAAAAAAAAAACCTAATTAAAATTTTAAGATCCGGAGGAATTCTTCTTGTCATCTCTCCCTCTTCCTTCGGCGATCTGAGCCAACGATTGAAGATTGCACCGAACAATTGTATCAACAAACACGCACGTCTCCTCTTTCGTGTTCCCCGCCGGCGTATCCACCACGTATGATTCCACGACAAGGGTAGATTCTTCGCCGGTATCGCCGACTGCCGGGTGCAACGACGTGACCGACTGGTAGTTAGAGAGGCGGTGGTCCCCACCAACGACGGAGAAGGAGATGACGTGGCGGTGGTCGTCGAGGATCTCGAGCCGTTCATCGGAGGTAGCGGCGGGGAGACCGGAGACGACGCGAACACGGCGGAGAGTGCCGACGTCACCGTTACCGGAGATGACGTCACAGCTCCGAACGAAGTGTTTGTAGAGTTGAGGAGCGTCGAAGCGGCGGACGACGGACCAGACGGTGGAGACAGGGGCGGAGATCTCTTGGACGACGGCGGAGGAGCACTGGTGAGAGTTGACGGATTGAGCGTGGTAGCGAACGACGTCGTCGGGGACTTCGAAACCCGGGGGAGATAACGGCGGAATAGAGAGGGGTTTTGGGTGGAGGTGGGAGAATGGTGAAGTGGTGGTGGGGTGGGTGTTGGTGGTGATACGGTGGAGTAGTACGGATGATTTGGGCATTTTTGTAATTTTACTTTTGATTGAAATTAAATTTAAATGTTTGTTTATGGAAAGTGGTGGTGAAAATGAGGTTACTACTTTTGGATTTGAGGAAGAGAGAGAATTTGGGGTGGGAAGGAAATAAGGAATGGGCTTTTTTTTGGGGGGTTAGGGGTATATATATGAGAGAGGATGGTCACTTTCTTCTAGCTTTTGATTTTTTAAAAAAAGAAAATATAATTGGATGGTATGGTAACGGGAAAACGAGTTGTGTGTTGTTGTTGGTTAGATTTTTCCTTTTGTTATGGGTAAATTGCTATATTTTGTTTTATAACAATATAATTATGGTTAGATGTAATATAGGGGGGTTTTAAAATAGGGTGATTGGACAAAATCAAACTTGTTTTATGGGATGGATGGTATTTTGTGGTGATGAGAGTTTTGGGAATGGGATCGTATGGTGGGATGAGGAGTTAAAGTTAACTCTTGTATTACCTATATTTAGTGGTTGTTTTTTTGTTATTAGATTTAGGAAATACAAAGTGGTATATTACTCTATCCATCACTATTTTTTTGTTCATTTATTATTTGTTGTTCTTAATATACGTTTTGAAACATAGATTTCTTCAATTTTATACATTAAAAAAATTATAATAAATTGATATTCTTAAAGTAGAGATTGAAATAAAAAATAAACAAGATTTCACATAACTACATTTAGCTATTATAGATATATGAGAATTCATGGTCAAAGTTTATAAATTTTGACCCAAAAAATTAATATCAAAGAATCTTTAAGCGATGAAAGCAGGGGCATTTTAGTGGGGAGTCGATCTTGAAACCTCTCTCACCATGCAAAACTCAAACTACCAACTAAGCTACCATTGACAACCTATTCTATTAGCTAAATATTTACTATTTTTTAGTTTCTTATAGGGGCCAAACCACAAAATACACATATCATCTGTTGGGCCACGGGGGGTCGGGCCTCCACCAGCCCCCCTAGCTCCACCCCTAGATGAAAGGAGTATCAAACGAACTAAGAAAATAATCTCATTCGTTAAATAAAGTTTTGTTTTACCCTCTTTGTTTTTTTAAAGTGACACAATACCAGGCATGTTAATATATACGTTTGACACAAAATAATCTCATTCGTTCAATAAAGTTTATTAATTGTGTATTAGTACAGAATTCGTAAAATTCATAAACTATATGCATTGAGACTAACCCAATAATATATTATTCAACAAGTGCATTAGGTTCGTTATTACATATGGATATTTAAGTCATCCTTAATCCATAAATATAGTGTAAAAAGTCAAAGTGTTACTTAAAATTCTAACTTAAGGCATGATCTGAACTGAGCTGAGCTAAGCTGAATTGAACTAAAGTGAACTGATTGGAGCTTAGCTGAACTGAACTGAATAAAACTGAAATGAATTGTTTATGGGAGAAGGAAATTAAGAGCTGAATTGAAATTAAGCTGAAGAGAACAAACCCTTAAATTGAATCAAATAAGCTCTTTAAGTAAAACTTATTAAATCCATTTGTAACTCATTCTTGAAAGTTATCTAAGTTTATCTAAACTTATAACTTCGTATTTCTTAAGGTAAAAATAATGCACTAAAATCTCCTTTCACACATCCTAAATAAGGGTGTAAATAAGTCGAGCTGAGTATTACCTTGTTCATGTTCAAATTCATTTAATTTAGGCAAGTTTGAGCACGATGCCAAACTTTCAAGCGAGCTCAAAATTCTGTTCAAGCTCGACTCATTTAGTACACTATATGTTCGCGAACGGTTCGTTTATTAAACGAGTTGATAATTAAAAAAGAGTTTCATTAACAAAATTAGTAATAAAGGAGCTTCTCTAATAAATGAATTTTGTACTTTTAAATATCTTAAAATTAGCGTAATAAGTAAATCCTAACTATAAACCTAAGAATTATATTAACAATTGTGAATAAATCAATAATTCATAAATATAAATAAATGAGTATTTCGCAAACATAAATAAACGAGTTGTTCCTGAAATTATTTGAACAAGCATATTTATGTTCGTGTTCAATCTCAATTATTAAACGAACTTTAAAATTTGTTCAATCTCAGCTCATTTATCAAATAAACAAATATGAAAGAGCTTCAACCAAACTCGCACCCGAGTATTTTAATGACTGGTTTGGTTCATTTACACCCTAATCCTAAAGTAATAATTTCTTAGCGGTCATTTCACACTTCTTCCTGTTTAGAGACTCTAATCTCCAATATAAAAGCACTAAAGAACCCTTAAATATAAATTATTATTATTATGCGTAATAAAAAAACAAGTGGACATTTAATAAAAAATGTAGAATTAGGAAATTGAATATTCAGGAATAAAACCCAAGTTGAAGGTTCTGACTTCTGATAACTTAATTTAAGCTGACATTTCCTCTATAATTTCATTGCATGAGATGAGGGTGCCGCATATGATAAAGAATTCTAGTATAATCTTTACGCGTTTAGCAGCCAATGTCAACTAAAGTCTTGCTACTATCTTCATCGATGTGATTCTTATTTTATACTTCAATTGGAACTTTTTACTCCAATAGGACCCATCATTTTATTTCATCTTAGGATTTACACTAAAGTGTTGTTGCATTAATTTCATTTTTGAAGATAATATAAATATTTGTTTTGTTTTGTATTGTGTTGGAATTGCTCTATTATACTCTATAGTTAAGAGTAACAATTATTTATTTCCGTATCATTTAGGGTCTATTCACTTTAGCTTAATTTCAGCTCAGTTCAATTCAGCTCAGTTCAATTCAATTTAGTTCATTTTATTTCATTCTCTCATAAAATATTCATTTCATCTCTATTCAGTTCAGTTCAATTCAGTAAATATAAACAGATCCTTAATATAAGAGTTGTTTAGATGACTTATTATTTGAAGAATGTGCTTTGTAATGTATGTACTCTGTATGAGGTAAACGAGAAGTGGAGAGAGAAATAATATGACTACTAGATTAGTCTCGTGCGATGCACGATTAGAACAAATAAATTTTTAAAAAATTTGTTTATTTTTTCATACCAAAATTAAAAACAAAAAAAAATTCCCGAAATAAATAATATACCAAATATTAAAAATAAAATTTAGAGTTCATATAAAAATTGAATAATAAAAGGGCTACGTGAGGAAGAAAAATTAAATTATTATTATTAGATGGATAGACTATTTTCAAAAATTGATACTAATAATAAAATAGCTGATCAGAATTTTAATTAAATCAAATAAAAATTCATGATGACATCATTTATAGTTTTGGAGGGAAAATTTTAATGACATCTGACACGTGTCTAGTTTTAGGAAATGATGATGTAAGCGGTTGCTACTTTAGTATTAGTTATAGATAAAGAAAATTTGTCAATTACTACCGCAAGTTAATACTACTTTGTAAATTACTACCGCAAATTAAAAAAGTTGTGAATTACTACCGCAAAACATTTTAAGATGTTGCGATTACTACCAAACCCCATTAAACCCAACTATGACGTCATTATATCACTTTAACCCATGGTTAAAGCCCTTAACCATGACGTCATTATATCCCTAATCCATTTTCTTTTTTTTTTTTTTTGGGGGGGGGGGGGGGCTGGTTAAAGCCCTTAACCATGGTCAAACACGGGTTAAAGGGATATAATGACGTCATAGTTGGGTTTAATGAGGGTTTGGTAGTAATCGCAACATCTTATAAAATTTTGCGGTAGTAATTCACAACTTTTTTTTAATTTGCGGTAGTAATTTACAAAGTGGTATTAACTTGCGGTAGTAATTGGCAATTAAATTACTGTATAGATAAATTATATGAATTAATTAGAAAATGGGGTGATATTTTAAGAATGGGTTAAAAGGAAAATGAGGTTAGATTTTATGGACTATCTAAAATTTAAAGAGAAATAATACAATTGGGCGTTTCATAATAGGTTAGTTGTAAACATTCTTATGTGTATTAATATTAGATGCGAATAATACCATAGTAGGGTTAAAGAGTAAACAGTCTTACACTAAAAAAATCGATTCAAAATGTTGATGTAATACGGAATATTATTAAAATTTATTCTTGGAACCCTATATAATTAACATTAATATATATCCTACTAAAGTTTATAATACTTCTTACGAGTATATTATAGATTAATTGTAATCATTGATCGACGAAGACCCCGAACATGCACTGTATTGAAATTATATAATAATAACAAGACTTAATTTATATCTTATAGGTACTTCTTATCAAGAAATTGGTATGCTATATTTTATTTGCAATTAGGCAACCATATATAGTGTTAATCTAATGCTACTTGCAATCTTTCTGTAATTAATTAATTATTAAGAAACGGCATTGAGTATGTCACAAAATGGATAGTCAACAAAAATTATAGGTTGGAATGCTTTAATTTTTAATTTAATCCTTTTAATTCTAAATTACTACTTGTCTATTAACTTCCAATTTATTAGTTTATTTAGTAATTTGCCCTCCTAAATGTCTATTAGCTTCCTTGATCGGACATTCGGACCATTTTCATTATTTCCCCCCTAAAACTAAATTTATAGTGTACTAAAATTGAACCCAATTTTCCTTCAAAAAAAATAAATAATAATAATAAAAATAATTTGGGCCCAATTTAATTTGTTAAGTCTATTATTATGCACTCCCTCCGTTCCCCTAAAAAAAAATATGCACTCCCTCTATCCCATAATATTGTTTCTATTTTACTATTTTGGAGATTTAAAATATTATTCTTGTTTCCATTTTTAGATAGTATGTAAATACCATTATACCCTCAATTTTTTAACTTAGTTAATTGTATTTCCTAAATTACCCTTGAATTTTGCACATGCCTTGTACTTTTTTCTACTTTTTCTCGAGTTAAGGTAATAATTAGGGACTAAAGTTTTATACTTTTCACCTTTTGGGACCTGAACTTTTTTTTTTCACCGTTTGGGACCTATGGTTAAATTTCAAGTCATTTAACCCATCTGAAAAATTTACTAACCAACTTGAGCATTAATTGGAGTTATAAAAAAAAAATTATTCCAAACCAAAAAAAATGGTGAACATCAGCTATAGAATTTTTTGAGCAAAAAAAAAAAAAAAAAAAAAAAAAAAAAAAACCCTTCTATGTTCCAATTTTTTACCTTAAACTAAAATAGCAAACCACAATCCAAAATTTCAAAACAAAAACAACAGCATCCAACATCCACAACATCATGCAGCTTCTAACATCCAAAAACAGCAGCAAGCTTTCTTCATATCATATTTTTTTTTTTTTTTTTCCAAATTCCCTTTTCTTGCTCTCCCAAAACCAATGTTTCAGCCTACAATCACAAGTATGAAATGGTGAAACAGCCAAACAGGAGATGTAGTTAAAAATTTTCAAATTGCAATTTTTTTCTACTTTGTGTATTTGTTCTTTAGGCATTAATTTGTCGTTGCATAATTGAATTAAGACAATGGTTTTCTTACCTTGCATTTTAATGAAATTAGAACAACCTTGTTGGTCCATTATACAATGAACTTTGTTGTCTTAAATGATTTGTGTTTGATGCATGATTTGACTGACTTGGTACAAATGCATGACTTGATTGAGGTGGAATTGTGTTAAGATGCTCAATATACCGCTAATTCTCTGCACTAAAATCAGCTTCAAAGCTTCAATTTTTTTTTCAAAGGGAGGTTGATGATGAAGGAGTACTCTGATGAACAATGAGAGTTGAAAAGACACTTTTTTTTTAATTTTGTTTGGGTAAACACGGTTACTCATTTTTTTTTTTGGAGAAACCAATAAAAATTCTCTTTGCAAATAAATTAAACCTAAAATAATCAGTGGGTCCCAATGCTTAACCATAGTTAATTTATTTGTTTAAAATTCTTTCTTAGGTCCCAAACGGTGAAAGAAAAAACTTCGGGTCCCAAAAGGTGAAAAAGTATAAAACTTTAGTCCCCAATTATTACCTTAACTCACTTTTTTTCTCTAATTTTTGTCTATAATTATACTTTTCACTTTTTTTGATGTACTCCATCCGTTTTTTCCTCTTATTTCTTAAATCCCGTGAAAAAACACAAATAAGAATTATATTATGAAATGGATGGAGTTTATATTTTTTTCTCAGCACTTACTAATGATAAAATAAATTGGTCAATTATAGACAAAGTCATAGAGATAGCTTACATAGCTAGACATGCAAAGTTTAGGCTAATTAACTAATCACATCTTTTATAGCAACTATTAGCATTACTAAAACAAGTGTAGCTCAAAATCCTCCTACAATTTGCCCAAAGCATGTCAACAACTCGATCAACGTATATAAAACACTAGGTTAAACTGCGTGCAATGCACAAATATAAATGTTGATAATTATAATAAAAATATAATAATTATATATATAAATATAGAATCGATTGATTATGTAATAAAACACATGAAATAAATTAAAACTGTAAAAACATGTGACAGATAATATTTAAATATGTAATAGTTATAATGTATATGTTGATATTTTAGGAAATTTACTTTATATTTTATAAAATAAAAGTTATAATCTAAATACAGCCTTATTTTAATTGATATAATATCTCTTTTTTTAGAAAATAATTTTGGAGGGAAATGTTTTGATAGTCTATTGCCAAGTGTCTCGTGAGATTTGCTTTAAGTAGTGTTTAATTGATTTTTAATATGAAACTTGAGTTGATAAAGTCTGATTTACGTGTTAATTAAACTGTTAATGAAATAAAACTACAAAAATTCGATATTCCTAGTTGCATTTGGCCTTAGTATACACAAATCGACATATCATATACGATATACCACATGTCCAAAATGTACCCCTTGCAATCAACCCTTAAGGGTGCATGGGACTTGGCCATATCCTAAAGTAATGCTTTTCAGTTTTCACTATATCTAAACCCAATATATTAATTATGTAACGATAAGATTGTATTCGGATTACTTTCTTGTTTGTTATTTGCATCCTATAAGGCACACAATAACATTGATTGGAAATACAATAGGCGATTAAGCAAATTTTACTTCTTATATGATTGTTGGCTAAATTTGACTAGTGATCGAGTATAAGTTCGAAAGGATTCATGAGTTGCAATGACTTATAATCTACTAATCATTATTATAGTAAAAATTAAAGGTGTAAATTCAAAAACCACGTTGATTTAATCGGTCCAGTTAAGGCTTTTGAGTCATGCTAAATTTTTGTGTCCACACAGGTCGAATCAATTTCAAATTAAGTTGGATGTAGTTAGAGTTTGAGTCACGCCAAATCTTTGTGTCTACACAGGTCGAATTCTAGATTAAATCAGTTTCAAATCAAGTTGGATTTAGTTAGAGTTTGAGTCATGTTAAATCTTTGTGTCCATATATATTGAATTCTATACCAAAATAATTTTGACTTAGGTTGTATCTAATCAGTTTAACACTTGTAAACAAGTAAGCATACATTATAAATTAACATTTGTATATTCTAAGAACATACAAAAAACATGACATAGTAAATTGGTTTGAAACAATTAATTGACTAAATTTGTTTTGAAGGTAAAATATAACATTAAAGTGAGTTGTGCTCTAGTGCCGTAGTAGTGCGTGATTAGGATATGGATAGGATTGAAAATATGAGGGATCTTAGGTTTGAATTACACAAGAGCTAACTACTATATACAATATTGTATGAGTGAGTGAACAAAGTCTGACGAAAAGTTTTTGTTATGCATTGTGTTCTATAGGGTAAATTTGTAGGAGCCCCCAAATTTGTTGACGTAACTTTTTTTTTTTTTAGACAAATTTGTTGACATAATTTGGCCAAAATATACTTGGCGCTCTTGTTGGCTAATTGGCCTAAATATATTGTTGAAAAAGATGATGCTCTTGGCATTGTTTCCAAGACAATTGTAATAATCCTTGCATGCACTGCCTTTGTTTTTGAAAATTCGATCAGTTAGGTCATGTTTAGAAAAATTCAGTTTAGAAAAATATAAGTTTAAAAAGTTTTGATAAAGATTAATAGGGCTTATTTAAGATTAATAAATAATTAAAATAAATAATAATATCAGATAAGTTCAAATAAATAATTTAATAATCAGGTGAATAAAATTCAACATTATACTGAAGTAAACTACTCCGATTTTATGATAATACTACCTCCATTTCTATTTTATTTCTTATACTTCGTATAAAATATTCATACATTGCAAATAATAACAAATAAAAGTGATAAATACAAAATTCTTTTGTTCTGTGATTGAGATATTTTCAAGTAAGAAAAAACCTAAAGAGTAATAGAACCAAAAGTGGAAGTTATTTATCAGTTTTGTATGCCAAATTCGCCGACATCTCTTGGTTTCGTCTGTTAGCCTAAGGCCATGAGGATACCGCAATTGTGTAATAGTAATCCTCACTCTACGTGTTGTTTAGCAGCGCATGTCGACTCCATCTTCAATAATCTTTGTATTTGAATACCAACATTTTATGTCATTTTTTGGCTTAGTGCAATAATGCCAACAGTGTTTCAGGCCACTTTAGTCTCATCTCCAAGGCGATGTTTGCTAGAACTCATATATCTCCCTTCATTTCATAATAATTGCAACACTTTTTTTTTCGGATTTTTCACCAAATACCACTGAGTTAAAGCTTAATTCACCATATACCATAGAAAACTTTCTAATACACCATATAACCTTCAGTTTTATGAAAATGTCACAACTTGCCCTTTCCGTTAACTCAGTTAGTCATTAACGTTAATTGTGCCACATGGCAGCTTATAATTGGTTCTTATTAATATTCTTTATTTAATTAACTAACTTTAGAGAAATTATTTTAAATTTTTTTTAAAAAAAAAACACCACCACCTTAGCCACCGCCGCCACCAGCCTAGCCCCGACCCTACCCCCAGCTGGCCGGCGATCGTCCCCCCTCCCCGCCGGTGAAATTCCCGACCCCAGCCACCTTTTCCTCCGGAATTCCCAGCCACCACCTGCGAGTTCCCCTATCCCTCTCGAATTCCCAAGCACCACCTACGAATTCCGCTTTCCCTCCCGAAATCTCTAGCCACCACCTTCGCGCGGCAGCCTAAATCCACTCCCACACGTCGCCGCCGCCCAACTTGCCGAAAACCACCACCCCGAAACCCTAAAACACCAAAATCGAAACCCTAGATTTTGGTTTTAGGATTTCGACATACGTGGTGGTTTAGTTTGGGGTGGAAATGGCACCAATAGGGGCGAAATTGATTCATCGGCGCGGGGGAGGGTGGTTTGGGCGCTGACCGGTGGTTAGCGAAGGGTTCTTCGAGGGAGATGGGCTGTTTCGCGACCGGTGGTTCGGTTGTTCTTCTAGGATTTCGCCGGTGGTTCAAGAGAAAGGGAGTACGGCGGCCCGACGGGGGTATTCTCGTCGAATTTTAGGTCAGTGCGGGGGTTGTGGTCGGAATTCGGCGTTAGCGCAAGGGTTATGGTCGAGTTTTTCGCCGACCAGTGGTGGCTGGCTGGGTGGAGGGACGTGGGTGGCTGGAGGGATGGTGGTGGCTGGCTAGAGGGACGTGGGTGGGTGGGTTTTTTTCTTTTTCTTTTTTTATTTTATTTTTTTAATTAAAATTATATAATTATTTTAAAATTAAGTAATTTAAAAGGGAACCAATCATATGTTGCCACGTGGCCTTATTAGCCTTAATGACTAACGGTGTTAACGTCCGTAAGTCATTAATGGCATGTTGTGACATTTTAGTTAAACTGAAGGTTATACGGTGTATTAGAAAGTTTTCTATGGTATATGGTGAATTAAGCTTTAACTCAGTGGTATTTGGTGAAAAATCCGTTTTTTTTTTTTCATGTCCGTTTTATAATAATTACAACACTTTCTTATTTGGTAAGTATTCACTATTACTTTATTATTTCTTTCTCCTACCAAATCCACTTATACTCTTTTTTTTTTTTATTATTTTTTCTCTCCTATTTAGGGATGGATATATTAAGGGGTCTGGGTGCACTGGCTCCACCAAAAATTGTGTGTGTGTGTGTGTGTGTTTTTTTTTTTTTTAAATTTAGATTAAGGTGTAAATTTATAAGTTAAGTACAATTGTACTTTAATGCAACAAATAACATTAAATTAGCATTTGTTGGGTTTCGTGATGTCCAATATCAAGGAAACCCGCCCAAACTCCGCACACAAATTAAAGTAAACATAATCACATGATTAACAAGAAGAGAGAGAAAGAATTATTATCCTTGTAGCGTGCTTCGCTCTAACCAAGAGCTTGGACATGAAAGCGTAGAGTCCCATAAATGCGCGGACCCGAACCGAGCCGGCCCTTACCCTGAAGCTTAGTCAGGGCTAGACCAAGAAAGTACTTAGAGTATTAGAACGAAGGTATTCTCGCATTTGGAGATGTCTTCAAGTTCACAACTCAAGTGCTCTTTCCTAATGCCAAATGAGTGGGAATTATACGGAAATAAGCCCTTGATTTCTAATAGGGTCGGGTCATTTCGGGTTTCGGGTTGATTTCGGGTCGGCCGATAATCGGGTCGGGTCGGGATCGGGTCAACACTTCGGGTCGAGTTTGGGTCGGGTCAAGTTTGGGTTGGGTCAATTTTTGGGTCAGGTCAGGTCAATTTTCGGGTCAACTTCTAGTCGAGTCATATTCAGGTGATTCATTGGGTTAAATTCAACTCTGTATATATATTTATTTATTTATTTATTTTTGGCGAAAAAACTCACTATATTTATTAAGGCTATTTTTTTCATGGATTATATTAATTGTTTGACTTTTATTAACCTTTTTTTTTTTGTGTTTAGAATTTTAGACTGAGAACACTTTTAGGATCTCCTAAAACTAAGAGGGATGCTCTAACTAATTGAGTTAAACCTCACTCTCTTATTGATCTTAGTTTTAATACGTACTCTTATTATCATTGTCATTGTTGTAATAATTTCTTCGAATTATTCTTATACCCCCTCCGTCCCAAATTACTCTTAACGATTTGACATTTTGCACTATTCACATATCTCACTTTGACCATCTTTTTTAGCTA